TTGGTGGCTGAACTGTGGGCGTTGTATCATGGTCTTAAGCTAGCTCAATGTTTGCAAGTGACAAAGCTTATTGTTGAAACTGATTCTACTCTTGTTTTGCACCTTTTGAATGCTAAGGTGGAGCCATATCACCCCCTCCTTACTTTGCTAAACATGTGCAGAGTCTATTGGAAGAGTTCCTGGGACTGCAGCATCTTTCATGTTTTCAGGGAGGTTAACTTTGCTGCTGACTCTCTGGCTAAGATGGGGCATGAGATGGAATTGGGTGTTCATTGCTTTGTTTTGCCTCCTGGTGGTATTACTGGTGTCCTCCAAGAAGACAGGGATGGCCTTTTAAGGTCTAGGTTGATTTATGTTTAGTTGTTGTTTGGGCTTAGCCCTCTTTGTTACCAAAAAAAAAAGAACTATGCTTGCAAAATCAATATTACGTATTAATACCTCTTTTAACTAATGCTTTTGGTCTTGAGCATCCAAGAAGAGGAGCAACAAAAATAGAACTCGAGCAATCTCATTTTCATAGGAGGATTTCTATAATATCATATGAACATGCCCTTTATGGAACCAAATGACTCAAGATATTACAATCAAGGCAGACTTTCTGAAATTCAATGCCAACTTCTAAGCTCATAGTTACTACCAAAACAAAAGGAATGAGCCTAAAAACATCACGATCCATGGAAAAGTGATGGAGCTTGAAGATCTTGACGTTCCCAATCAGGAAACCTCTTCTAACACAATTTTTCTTTTTGGAACTTGATCTCAACTGGTGCCTTGTTGCCTTTTCGGAATCAAACTAATCACTAAAAGCACTTTCTATATAGATTTCAAACTGCATCTGAGTTCCCATAATTGTTTTTACATCTCAACTCTTCTCAAAAACCTTGAAAAACCTATGCGAATAAAATTCATGGAAGGACAGGCGGTGAACTGCAATAATGCATCAATCAGTCAGGGGCTTCCTCATAAAGACAAAGGACCAAGAGCCTCATTGGGATCCTACATGGTTATACCATGCTTTTAACCCATGTACCAGAATCTTCTACGGTTTGGATTGTGCCATATCTGCAATGTTTAAGTTTATTTTCGGTTCAGACTCCAATGACATTTGCACTGTCTCACAGCCCTTATCCTCTTCTTTCATGCAGAGAAAAATCACCTAAATTCATGGTCCCTATGGCTAGAACCATCAAACCAATGTCTCACCAACATTTTTAGGTCACATTACATCTCCATGAAAACCACAACACCGAATGAATAAAACTTTAACTTTATGCTCATATGGACAATAAACTGAAATTGGGAAGAGCAGATGCAAAAATCTCATCTGTATTGATTTTCTTTAATCAAAATTCAAATCACTCAATTATCCTCAACATGCAAGAGCAAGGTATTGAACCTGATATGTAAGACTCAATAAAATTTTACTAATGAAAATTCAAACAATGAAAACCTTTACGAATTCTACTTGTATACCCTAAAATTTCACTCATCTTCAACGTGCAACTGTTCTTCTAGATGGTTAATAAGGAAAGCTTTAGTTTGAATCTATATGCAGTGGATTCCTTGACGGTTTTTCGTTATGTAGTTATTTAGGCAGATCGGGTATCTTCTGTTTTCAATCTATCAGCCCTTCTTAACATTAACAGTTCAGGGTCAAAGAAAAAAAAAATTGAATGGCTCAACAATTGAAATAGGGGTTCGATGTGGGAAATTTGGGTGTCGGACAGATTGAGTTTTTTATTTATAATAATTTTGTTTTCTACGGAGTCAAAATTTAGAGGTTATTCACCCTTACATGCATTCGGAGAATTGATTTGTAGAGATAATGGAATTTGATCTTAGCTCTAGGTAGTAACTATCAGCAGGGGTGGAGGACTGAGTGCTTGGAGAAGGTGAATAAACTCCTTAAAGAATAGAACAATTAATACCCTGGTATAACCAGATAAAATCCCAACCTGGTAGATGCAGTCTCACTTTCATGGTTGACAGTGGTGTCCACCATCTGAGCTGTGCATGTTTTTGTACATGAAGTAGGGACTACTAAATTTTATGAGTTTGGAGGAATTTTCCACCGCGGGATCCAGTTGATCACTTATTTCTGCAGCTCGTTGGTGGTTGTTGATTTTCTGGACATACTTGAAGACAAGAATTACAATCAGAAAACAGTATGTTTTGTTTGGTTTTGTTGAGAAATTAAGTCAAGTCAAGTCTAATTATTTGTATTAAAAAAAAAAAGAAAGAAAAGAAATTCAAGTCTAAGTGATCACAAGAACGAAAACAGATTGCTCAAATCTTTTTTATTTTTCCTCTTCTTGTTCTTCCGTTTCATTGGCCTGGCATCGTAATTCGAAAAGAAGGGTTTCATTAATCTTTACCTCTCTCTCTCTCTCTCTCTCTCTCATAAATGGCTTATGTACCAGCAGTTGCGTTCTTACTCTGTGCTTTAACGATTGTAAAAGCTGAAAGAAATCACTCCAATGTTATCAAATTGGGTTCCTTTCTATCTCCGAATTCCAACCTGAATTTATGGCTCTCACCTTCTGGCCACTTCGCCTTTGGTTTCTATCCACAAGGCAACGGCTTCGCTGTTGGGATACGGCTTGTTAATGATCTTAGTGTGACTGAGCAAAGCATAGTCGTCTGGACTGCACAGCGAGATGGTCCGCTTGTCTCCTCCAACTCTACGCTACTGCTAACAGGAGACGGTCTGCTTCTTCAAACTGAGCAAGGCAAACAAGTACCCATTACCGGAAATTTGTCAACAACGGCAAGTTCAGCTGCTATGCTTGATTATGGAAACTTTGTAGTCTATGATCATCGTTCTCAAGTTATCTGGCAGAGCTTTGATTCCCCAACTGATACCATATTGGGAGGTCAAAATCTGACTTCTGGCATGGATTTGGTATCTAGTGTGTCTGCAACCAACCATTCTAGTGGACGATATTGGCTGCAGATGCAGGCTGATGGCAACCTCGTTTCTTACCAGATAAATATCTCCACTCCAGAAGCTGCTTATTGGGCTTCCAACACTTACGGTGACATGATGCTCAGTCTGAAAGTATGGGGGTTTCTCGTTTTGCTTCCTGAAACTGGTACAGGTTCTGGACATCCCTTGGCAACTGGCTCATATGACCCCCGCAATAACAGAACTATTATCTACCGCGCAACGCTGGATGCTGATGGGATTTTCAGATTGTACTTGCACAATTACTCTGTGATGAGCCGCAGGTCAAGAGTGTTGATTGTTTGGTCCAATTTGCATGACCAATGTGAAGTCAGAGGTGTCTGTGGCTTCAACAGTTACTGTGCACTCATATTTGGAAAGACAAACAAAACTGAGTGTCATTGTTATCCCGGTTTTTTAATCAACCCCAATGATGCGTTTCGGGGCTGCTATATGAACGGTAGTGACGATGGCTGCACTGGCAATGAAGGCCCAAGGCTGCGGTACAACATGGCTTCCATAGACCATGTGTTATGGCCAGGTGACCATCCTTATTCAGTGGTGCGATTAGAGAAGCTACGAGTTTGCAGCGACTCTTGCCTGGAAGACTGTAGTTGTAAGGCAGTGCTGTATATTAATGGCAGTTGCAACAAATACAAGATACCACTTAGATATGGTAGAACAAGCCCAGATATATCAGCCACAGGCTTCATCAAGGTAGCTGCAACACACAATCTGCAGTTTCATAATCCAATGGCTAACAGAAATTCGACATTGGTGAAATATGAAACCAAGAATAGTCGTGGCTTGATTGTAATTCTTGCTGTGAGTCTGGGTTCTATTGCATGTATATGTTTTGCCTTTGCAGTCTCCAGTTTCACCATATACGTTTACCGACTTAAGAGGTACAAGAAGCTGTTCGATCATACCAAAGTGGGATTGGCTGAAGAGTTGTTCAGTTTACAATCGTTTTCTTACTCTGAGCTTGAAGACGTAACTCATGGTTTTAAGGACGAGCTAGGAAGGGGCACTTTTGGAGCTGTTTACAAAGGAACTCTGTCAACTAGTAACAAAGTAGTTGCGGTGAAAAGGCTCGAGAAAGTTGTGGAAGAAGGAGTGAGGGAATTCAAAGCTGAAATCACTACTATTGGACGAACTCATCACAGAAACTTGGTTCAGTTGCTTGGTTTCTGTATCGAAGGCTCTCGAAAGCTTCTTGTATATGAATACATGAGCAATGGCTCACTTGCACATCTTCTTTTTAATAAGGCCGCAACCGTGCGCCCTTCCTGGAGAGAAAGAGTAGGAATTGTGTTGGATGTGGCTAAAGGGGTGCTCTATTTACACGAAGAGTGCGGTGTGCATATTATACACTGCAATTTGAAACCCCAAAACATACTTCTGGATCACTCTTGGACTGCCAAGATCTCCGATTTCGGTTTGGCGAGGCTGTTAGTGCCAAATGATCAAACAAAAATAGCTGCCGGAGTCGAACAGAGAAGCGGTTACTTGGCACCTGAATGGCAGAAGAACGCCCTGATATCAGTAAAATCAGACATCTATAGTTTTGGTATTGTGCTTTTGGAGACTGTATGCTGCAGAAAAAACATAGAGTTAAAAGTTTCAGCTCCAGATGAGATGATTCTTTCTAGTTGGGCATATAAATGCTTTAAGGCCGGAGAAGTATATAAGCTTGTGGAAGATGATGATCAAAATGTAGATTTGAAGACACTAGAGAGAATGATTAAAGTGGGGCTGTGGTGTGTTCAGGACGACCCAGGTTTGCGTCCCCTCATGAAGAACGTAATCTTGATGTTGGAAGGGACAACGGATATACCAGTCCCTCCATCTCTAGAGCTTCCCAAGCCTGTTGACTTTTGATTAATCAAATCCTTGTTTATCAGGCTTTACGCATTAAGTGATATGCATATGAAGATATGTTATGGAACTTTTCTAGACTCGATATATGGATGTAGCTAGACTCATCCATATTCTAATTTGGTATGTCTTTGAAATGTAATAATCAATGTCCAAAGTTTTTTTAGATTTCTCTTGTTTTAATCATGTCAAAATAATGTTCATGTATAAACGTTTCTACTTCAAACCGGTTATAATTTCGAGCCTTTGTAAAATAATGTTAAGTATATCCAACCTTAATTAATCCATAACCCAATACCTAGGAACTTTATAATTAGGGAAAATGGCATTAATTACGTGTATAGATTGATGTAGGACAAGGAGGGATAATGTTAATAAGATTGAAGCTTGTTTTTGAAGGCTGTAAGATTATAGTGAGAAAATATTTTTAGGGTGTAAGATTCGTCAAATTCTTTTTAGGGTGTTCGTTTGTCATGCAGAGTCGAGTGACATTAGAGAGTAGGGAATAAAACACAAGACCTCGAGCTTCAATTACAAGCTCCTTTCCATGTTGTGAAATAACTTTAAAAAGTCAAAATCAAGAACATGTACAGTCCACAAGAGCAGTGTAGGGTACACTACAACTGGAAAAATAATGCATTGTTGACAACTAGTGCGCAAATTGCGCAATGCAGTGACAATTCTTCTCCAAATTAGTGGGCAAACTTTTCACTATACATAGTAAATTGTTGCAGTTCTTTGTTTTTCTTTTTTGGTCAATATTGATTTTTTTTTTTTACTTTTATTGTTATAAAAATATTCTCCACTAAATTGTAGTAATTATAATTGCTCAGGAAAGCCAATTGCCACTAAGGTAGATGAGTATGGCATAGTTGTCACGAACTAGCTCTTAGTCAAGTGATAATATAGAGGTTCTAAGTTCGAATACTCCCTCCCATGCCAAAGTCTCTTTAGACTTATTCATTGGGGACAAGGAGAAGGCAGGATAGGGCCACCAGGGGCAGCTGCCTTACTTTGACATTATACTGATAATTGATAAAGAAATGTACTTCTGTTTCATGGTAAATATGATTTTCATTTGTGGTTAATTTGACTCAACAAGAAGACTTGGTCAGTCAACACACCTTAAATCACGTATTTCTCTCTCTCATATCTATCAATTTAATTTAAGGAGTGAAAATAATCCAAGCTTTTCATCTTTCAGTATGGCTTCCAATATTCAGATTGTTGTCTTCCTCCTCTCTGTATTTTGTCTAGCAGGTGACGGAGCTCCACAAAAGCATTCTAGCCAAATAATAAACCCAGGCTCTTCACTTTCTCCCCTAAGTACTCACCACTCATGGCCTTCTTCTTCTGGCCACTTTGCTTTTGGGTTTTATCAGCAAGGAGATGGATTTGCTGTCGGAATTTGGCTGGTGGGAATAGAAGGAAAAACAATTGTTTGGACAGCAAATCGCGACGATCCCCCAGTGACCTTAAATGCAATGCTGCAGTTAACAAGTGATGGAAAGCTTGTTTTAAGTGACCGAGGAGGACAAAAGAACCTCATCATCGTCACTACTAGTACTAATTCATCGACAGACTCTGCAGCTTCCTCTGCCTCCATGCTTGATTCTGGAGATTTTGTCCTGTATAACAAAAGATTCGAGGTCATTTGGAAGAGCTTTAATCATCCGACTGATACTCTCCTTGGAGGTCAGATTCTGCCTATTGGAGGTCAACTATTCTCCAGTTTTTCAGAAAATGACCACTCAACAGGACGGTTCCATCTCAACATGCAGGCTGATGGAAACCTGGTTCTATACCCTGCAAACAGCGAAAACTCGCGTGCAGATTCTTATTGGAGCTCTGAAACCTATGACCAACCTAAGCTTCAACTTTATCTTAACGCTACAGGTCGTCTAGTTCTCATCAACAGCACTAATTGGGAAGAACACAATGTTTTAGGTGATGATGAATCGTCCAAAACCAACTACAAAAACGGTACCATATATCGTGCGACTGTTGACGTGGATGGAAATTTCCGGTTGTGTTCTCATGAATATGATGAGAGTACTGGAAAATTCCAGCCATCCCTTATTCTGTGGCAAGTACCGGAGGATCCTTGCGATGTTAAAGGCTTCTGTGGCCTTAACAGCTACTGCACATGGGACGACAATAAACCAAACTGCCGTTGCCTTCCTGGATCTGATTACGCTGACTCCAATCACATGACACTCGATTGCTTGAGAAACTATACTCAAGTAGAGTGTAAAGATGGGAAAGAAAATACGTCAAGTTATCACATGACCACCATGGAGAATATGGTGTTGGAAGACTCTGCTTATGATCAAGCACAAATGTCGACTGTGGAAGAATGCAGCAGATCTAGCTGTCTTCAAGATTGGCAACATAACAAGTGGTCCCATTGGCAACAACCACAACAATACTAATCTAGCCATCCCGCCAAATCCAATTACCACGGTCGTTACTACCACAGACAAGAAGGTGATAAAGCAAATTCTTGTTTTAACTTTAGCTCTCATCATATTCTCCTGTGCGGCCCTTGCAGTTTCTGGATTTTACATTTTCCAAATCCGACTTCTGAAGTACAAAAGATTAATAGGGATTTGGGGCTGGCTGATGAAGAACTTACTTTGAGAGCTTTTTCATACAATGAGCTGAGAAGAGCCACCAATGGGTTCAAAGAAGAATTGGGAAAGGGCTCGTTTGGAGCAGTTTACAAAGGGGCTTTAAACAAAGGAAAAAAAATCATTGCAGTGAAAAGATTAGAGAAGCTAGTCGAAGAAGGTGAGAGGGAGTTTCGTGCGGAGATGCAAGCAATCGGAAGAACTCACCACAAGAACTTAGTTCGATTGCTTGGTTACTGCGCCGAGGACTCAAAAAGGCTCCTTGTGTATGAATATATGAGCCCTTGCAGATCTCCTTTTCAGGGATGAATGGAAACCTACTTGGAGTGAAAGAGTAACAATTGCACTCGATGTCGCAAGAGGTCTCCTTTATCTACATGAAGAGTGTAAGGCCCCTATCATCCATTGCGACATAAAGCCTCAAAACATTCTGATGGATGAATTCTGGAATGCTAAAATCTCTGACTTTGGACTTGCAAAATTGTTGATGCCGGATCAAACGAGGACTTTCACAGGGGTCAGAGGGACAAGAGGGTACTTGGCACCAGAATGGCAAAGGAACACTCCAATCTCAGTGAAGGCAGATGTTTATAGTTATGGAATAGTGCTTCTCGAAATTGTATGTTGCAGGCGGAACATGGACGTCAATGTTAGAGCAGAGGAGATTATTCTATCTACTTGGGTCTACAAGTGCTTTGTTGGTAGAGAGCTGCATAAGCTCGTGGGTGGTGAAGAGGTCGATAAAAAGACGCTGGAGAACATGGTTAAGGTGGGATTATGGTGTATACAAGATGAACCAGCTCTGCGTCCTTCAATGAAGTCTGTTGTGTTGATGTTACAAGGTATTACTGATATAGCTATTCCTCCATGTCCAACTGCTACCTCCATGTAACTATTAGCCTGTGAGCAAATGCCTTTCTTCTTATATGCAGTTTGTTAAAAGAATAAGCAAGATTGCTAAAGGGTATGGTATCCTATACCGGTTACATTGTTGTACTAAAGTATCTAGAATCAAAGACTCCTTGAATCAAGAGTCTCTCATGGGCAAATGATTATTCTCATCAATATGGTTCATTGTATAAATTTAATTCAAGCATATTTTCTATATTTAATTTGGGTAACTCTAATGCAGTTCTCTGCATTTTCAACTATCTTAGCCATTTAATTAATGCAATGGCTTAGTCTCTCCGCATCAACACAACTTACTTCTATATCAAAACTCAAAAATCTCCCTTCATCTGCACCCTCTTTCCCCTCGCACAATGATTACACAAAATATTATTTCAAGACGTTAACTGGGTTTGAATTTGATTCAATGAAGCCGGTCCCGAAACCAATTTATAGTTTGATAAGCCTGTACTTCTCATTATGAGATCAAAATAATTATCTTCAGTTTTCTATACACTTGAAAACCATGCAAGCATGTTCTTGTTTCTATTACTACTTTCTTTCCCTCCGTGAATGGGAGTCTTGTGTGTGGGATTTACATGAGGTGGTAGGGATGGCTATATTTTAATCAATAACACTACAACGTCACATCGGCTGATTACATTGTTAGGAACCTTCATCATTGGTGAGCTGGATTAGTGATGAGCTGGCATAGTCAGTTTGTTAATAGATTAGTTAAGAAATTAGTTTCTAACCGAATTGGTTAATGAGAGCTTCACAGCTATATTAGGCAATTATTGTATCAAGAATGAGTTGTTGAGAATATTGTACTGTTTTGATAATTCAATAAAGAATACTTGTTATTCTGTGTAATTCTGGGGTTAAGGTTGAAAGGGGTTTAACACACATAATCATATGTGACAGTTGTTAAAAGTCTTGTATAGTTCTGCTAGTAACTTTCTCTCCGAGGAGGGGCCTTGTGTATGATTAGGTAGTTGGTAAGTCAAAGCTAACTAAGGCAATTAGGAAGATCAACCACACTAACTGAGACACAACCCATACTCCTACCGAAGGCAGTAGCAGGGAATTCTCCGCACTGGGAGAAAGCCCAACAGAGCAATGCCGCTTGGAGGTATAGAAGAGGCAACGAAAGCATCGGCTTTCTTTGCGCTAGCAGTCGCGGTAAACCAGAGGATGCAAGCATTATCTGAATGATTAGGCTTAAAGCTGTAGGTGGCTAGTAAAGTCCACTTGCTACTAAAGTTATTTGCAAATTGACACATTATCTACCACATGATGTGGTATAGTCTTCTAGTCTTTCTCCAACGAGTTTCAACACCCACAAACACGTTCCCCCAACCAAAAAAGGAGCCATTCATTGGTATTTAAGTCTTCCTCTAGTCTCCATTGATTGATTGGTAAAGTCTTCCTCTAGTCTTCATTGATATTGGTAAAAGTCTTCCTCTAGTCTTCATTGATTGATTGGTAAAAGTCTTCCTCTAGTCTTCATTGATATTGGTAAAAGTCTTCCTCTAGTCTTCATTGATTGATTGGTAAACACCTACTTTTGTCTCACTCCTCAGAACAAAGGAGGAGGACAGGTGTTTTCCTTTATCATTATGAGCACATGTATATCCTTTTCTGATAAATCTACCTCTAGAATTTTCTTCGTCATTTAATATGAAAATTACATAAAGAAAGAATGGAAATTCAATACATTATTTTATTGACTAATCTGTCTTCCTCTAGAATTTTCTTTCTCATTTAATATGAAAATTATATAAAGAAAGATTGGAAATTTCCAACATTATTTCATTTATGTATTCCTTTTTGTTTGTTCCCCCCAATACACAATATGCACTCATACACATCAATAAGTTCAGACACACAATATGCACTCATACACATCAATAAGTTCAGACATAATAGAAAATTGACAGACCAGTTAAGGAAAGGCAATGTGCATGTGATGAAATGAGAAATGTAAAAAATTCCACATGAGAAAGAACTAACTGTTAGCGTTGTTTCATTGGTGAAATAGGATCCTTCACTAAAATACACACCTAAGAACTATGCTTGCAAAATCAATATTACGTATTAATACCTCTTTTAACTAATGCTTTTGGTCTTGAGCATCCAAGAAGAGGAGCAACAAAAACAGAGCTCGAGCAATCTCATTTTCGTAGGAGGATTTCTATAATATCATGAACATGCCCTTTATGGAACCAAATGACTCAAGATATTACAATCAAGGCAGACTTTTGAAATTCAATGCCAACTTCTAAGCTCATAGTTACTACCAAAACAAAAGGAATGAGCCTAAAAACATCACGATCCATGGAAAAGTGATGGAGCTTGAAGATCCTGACGTTCCCAATCAGGAAACCCCTTCTAACACAATTTTTCTTTTTGGAACTTGATCTCAACTGGTGCCTTGTCGCCTTTTGGGAATCAAACTCATCAGTAAAAGCACTTTCCATATAGATTTCAAACTGCATCTGAGTTCCCATAATTGTTTTTACAACTCAACTCTTCTCAAAAACCTTGAAAAACCTATGTGAATAAAATTCATGGAAGGACAGGCGGTGAACTGCAATAATGCATCAATCAGTCAGGGGCTTCCTCATAAAGACAAAGGATCAAGAGCCTCTACCAGATTGGGATCCTACATGGTTATACCATGCTTTTAACCCATGTACCAGAATCTTCTATGGTTTGGATTGTGCCATATCTGCAATGTTTAATTTTATTTTCGGTTAATGACTACAATGACATTTGCACTGTCTCACAGCCCTTATCCTCTTCTTTCATGCTCCTCCTTGACCTTGAAGAGAACACTCAGCCTCCCATATTGTTTCCCTACAACTATAAAAGAGAAAAATCATCTAAATTCATGGTCCCTATGGCTAGAGCCATCAAACCAATGTCTCACCAACATTTTTAGGTTACATTACATCTCCATGAAAACCACAACACCGAATGAATAAAACTTTAACTTTATGCTCACAAAGACAATAAACTGAAATTGGGAAGAGCAGATGCAAAAATCTCATCTATATTGATTTTCTTTAATCAAAATTCAAATCACTCAATTATCCTCAACATGCAACAGCAAGGTATTGAACCTGATATGTAAGACTCAATAAAATTTGACTAATGAAAATTCAAACAATGAAAACCTTTTACGAATTCTACTTGTATACCCTAAAATTTCACTCATCTTCAACGTGCAACTGTTCTTCTAGATGGTTAATAAGAAAGCTTTAGTTTGAATCTATATGCAGTGGATTCCATGACGGTTTTTCGTTATGTAGTTATTTAGGCAGATCGGGTATCTTCTGTTTTCAATCTATCAGCCCTTCTTAACATTAACAGTTCAGAGTCAAAGAAAAAAAAAATTTGAATGGCTCAACAATTGAAATAGGGTTTCGATGTGGGAAATTTGGGTGTCAGATAGATTGAGTTTTTTATTTATAATAATTTTGTTTTCCTTTTACGAAGTGAAAATTTAGAGGTTATTCACCCTTACATGCATTCAGAGAATTGATTTGTAGAGATAATGGGATTTGATCTTAGCTCTAGGTAGTAACTATCAGCAGGGGTGAAGGACTGAGTGCTTGGAGAAGGTGCATAAACTCCTTAAAGAATAGAACAATTAATACCCTGGTATAACCAGATAAAATCCCAACCTGGTAGAGAATCCTGGTCCTAACATAGAAGCAAAATATATAGCTAGTTTTGGTGAAGGGTACAATAAGAATATATGAAATTGAGGAAGGTATAATGCTAGACCTGGATTTCGAGACAACAGTTTTGAACACATATCAACTGAGTCTGGATGCAACCGAGAAAGGATGAGTTGGTCAAAAGGGAGACATGTAGATGAATTGATGTTCTTAAGCACCTGGAAAGTAAAAAATTTATCACTATTTCAGCGAGCATGTTTAAAGGAGTTTTTATGGCAAAAAGTAGTTCGTTGATACCTGAACATTAGTCCTACCAGGAAAAGGAGGGCAACCATTAAGAAGCTCAAAAAGAATTACACCAACACTCCACATGTCGACCTATAAAAATCAAACCCTTCATTTCTGTTCATCCTGATTGAAAAGGGAAAATGGCATGAGCTCTGGACAAGATCATACCTTTCCATCATATCTTTCAAACTGAAGAACTTCAGGTGCCATGTATAATGGGGATCCACAAACTATCTC